CGTCGACCCCATACTCGGTGTCGGACTCAGTCACGATGACTCCTCAATTCACGTTCACGCCGCCCCGACATGGTATACCGCAGTGCCTCCCCTCGAGCCCAAGGCAGACCTTCCCACTGGCTCCTCTCCCCAGCTTGCCTCCCTCGCTTCGCGCGCAGTCCGCATCCGACATGCATTTCATCAAGACTACGCTCACGACCGGTACGCTCTCTGACAGGCTTAATGCGCTCACGCTCCTCGTCCAAGGGAGCCCAATACACAACACCGCGGTGCTCGACAGCTTGCGCGCGATGATCCGGTGTGGGCGCGCAAAGGGCGGCAGAGACGAGGGGCTCAAGGCCGTGCGCTGCATAGTGGATTGGTGGGTTGGCGGTGGAGGGCCGGGAAGAAAACTCAAGTATGTCGCGCTTCTTCAGTGTGCGCCTGGCCCGGCTACTCATGTGCTGAATGCTTCGCCAGATACTTCCGAGACCAGCCCCTCCTACATCCGGACATGGACGACGCGCACCTGCTCATATGGCACTTCGAGGACTGGCTCAAGAAATTCTTCTTTTCCATCCTGCAAATCCTCGAGACGTTCTCCCTCGACCCCCTCACCTACGTCCGCACGCAAACGCTCGCCTTCCTCGCCACGTTCCTCCGCGCGCAGCCCGAACAGGAGCAGAATTTGCTGCGCCTCCTCGTGAACAAGCTTGTACGCACCCGCACCCCGCTATACATGCATGTATGCGCAGGCATTGACGCGATGCCTAATAGGGAGACACAGAAAAGTCCGTATGCTCGCGCGTGTCCTACCACCTTCTGCAGATCCTCCAGGCACACCCCGCGATGAAGGGCGTCATTGTGCGCGAGGTGCGCGCACTCATCTTCCGCCTCCCCTCCTCCACTGCCGCGCAGGCCGCGCCCGCCAACCCCGCGGGCACCCACATCCGGTTCGGCGACGCGGACTCCTCTTTGTCCAAGCCCAAGTCCAAAGGCAAGAAAGACGCAGCGGCGAAAGCGGACCCGCAGTCTCGATGGAACTCGCACGCGTGGTATTACGCCTCCGTGACGCTGAATCAAGTGGTGCTCACACCGTCCACGGTGGACCGCGCTGTCGCGCGCATGCTCGTCGACTCGTACTTTGAGATGTTCGAGGAGATCCTCGGGTCGAAGGGCGACGAGGACGAGGCGGAGCCCGAGGGCGAGGTGGTAGACGCGAAAGAGGACAAGTCTGGCCGAGGAAAAGGCAAGGACAGAGGCCCACCCCGGGAGAAGAAGAAACCAAAGGTCAAGGAGACGAAGGGCGCAGCTGGGTTCGCCGAGGTCGAGGACACCTCGTCGCGCCTCATCGGCGCTATTCTGACGAGCGTGAACCGCGCGCTGCCCTTCGCGCAAATGCACCTGAGCAACGACAGCTCTGCAGTGTACGCCTATCCTTTGACTCTGTGTTTCTCCATATTGACGTCGGTTGCAGGTTCTAAAAGCACATCGACACGCTCTTCCGTATCACGCATACCTCGACTTTCAACATCTCGCTCCAAGCCCTCACTCTCATCCTGCAAATCTCGACCACGCTCTCCTCCTCCACCACGAAGCAGCCGTCCACGTCGTCTCCTTCGGCTTTCACGACAACGCTCCGCGATCGGTTCTGCCGCACGCTATATGCGTCGCTCACGGACCCGCGTTTAAGCACGTCAAATAAGCAAGCAATGTATCTCAATCTGCTCTTTAAGGCAATGAAGGCGGACCACGACGCACAACGTGTAGCTGCCTTCGTGCGTCGTTTCGTACAGGTGCTCGCGAGCGGCGTGGGCGCCGGCGGAGCGGTCGAGTTCATTGCTGGTGGTCTGTATCTTCTCGGCGAGGTAGGTTTCGCGATATTATGCTTTCCGAGCGCATCCTAATCACCACCTTGTAGCTCTTCAGCACGACTCCCAATCTGAAGCAATTACTCAACGCGTCCAAGTCTAAAACGGCCCCTGTCGCCGACGCGTCGTCGTACGACCCCCGAAAACGCGACCCCCAATACGCCCACACGTTCGCGACACCCATCTACGAGCTGGGACGTCTCACCATCGTTCCCCTACCCCGCCCACGCTCATTAATCCTCTCAGATCCCGCTCCTCCACCACTACCACCCCGCGATCTCCCTGCACGCCCGCCAGCTGCTCTCCTCAACCCCCATCACCAGCTCGCCCGACCTCTCCCAAAACACACTCTCGCACTTCCTCGACCGCTTCATCTACAAGAACGCGAAGAAGCCCAAGCCCAAGGGCTCGAGCGCGATGTAGCCCGGGGCGACCGACAGTGCGCACGGCGTCACACTCGTGAAGGGCGAGGGCGCGGGGCTCGGCGTGCCCGTCAACGACCAGCGGTTCTGGAGCCGCAAGGAGGAGGATGTGCCGGTCGACCAGCGGTTCTTCCGCGCGTACTTTACGCGCAAGGCCGAGAAGGAGCGCGAGAAGGCGAAGAAGGTCGGGCGGAGCAAGGGCCATGCGGACGAGTCGGACGAGGACACGGATGCGCCCGAGAATGATGAGGCCGAGGCTGAAGAGCTGGTCAGCGCGTCGGAGGATGGGGAGGAGGCGACTGCGTCGGAGGGTTAAGAGGAAGAGGAAGAGGCCGTGAGCGGCGATGAGAGCGAAGACGGCGGGTTCGACCTGCCGAGCAAGGGCCAGAAGCCCACACCAGTCGAAGACGACGAAGACGAGGAGGAAAACAGCGACATTGAAGAGGCAGAGATATGGGAGGGACGCCACTACCTTGTTGAATTCGGCGGCCGGGAAGCGCCCGTGGGGACACAAAATGCGCTGTGGCGGCTGAACGCGGCCACATCGCGCGTTGCAAATGGGTGCGTTCGATTCGCATTCGCTCTGCGAATCGAACGCCTACTAACGTGTAGTGTTTCGAGCAGATCTCAAATTCTCGCTCGGCGGGCTCGAGGCGCCTGCACGAACACAGAATATGCTGTGGTGCCTCAACACAGCGACACCACGTGTTGTGAATGGGTGCGTTTGATTCACATTTGTTTTGCGAATCGAACACCCACTAATGGGTACTGTTTCGTGCAGAACTCAGAATCACGGTTGGCGGGCTCTAAGTGGGTGCGTTCAATTTGTTCAGCTAATCTGATCCAAACAAGTGTTCATTTGAACATTTACAGCCATAACTCACATTCTCAGTTTGTGGCCTTTGAGCGCCAGCGGGAACAAGAAATCCTGTGTGAGTGGAAGCAAACTGCCTGCATACAGACATTGTCTCTCTCATTGTTTGAG